TTACCTATAACCAGCTTCCCTTTCCTCCTAAGCTGATTATGTAGCCAAGTGTAGTACTTCTTCCCTGCAGGATTTGTTTTAAGTACTTCAATGATTTGTTGAAGTTGAGGATCAGTGTGGTAGCATTGTTGAATAGATTGTAACAAATCTGATCCCACCACTGTTAAGGCCATACTCAATATATCTGCACTCTTTATCCTGGATAGTGCATCAGCTGCCAGATTTTCTTTGCCCTGTTTATACTGAATATCATAATGAAATTCCAACAGTTTAGGAAGCCATTGTTGTTGTATAGGGGTATTCAGTCTTTGCTCTAGTAGATACTTAAGACTCTTCTGGTCAGTCTTAATAACAAAATGAGTATAGAGTAGATAATGTCTCCATTGTTGCACAGCAAAAACAACAGCCAGAAGTTCTTTTTCATATATGGAAAAATGTAGTTGTCTACCCTTCAAATGTTTGCTGATGTAAGCCAGTGGATGATTCTCTTGCATTAAAACAGCACCAATACCATATCCACAAGCATCTGTCTCAACCACAAACTGCTTTTCAAAATTGGGTAGTGCTAATACAGGTGCTTGACATAATGCAATTTTCAGGTTCTGGAAAGCCAAAGTAGCTTCTTCAGACCATTTAAAACTGTCTTTCTTAAGAAGAGAAGATAATGGTCTAGCAATCACACCATAATTCTTTACAAACCTTCTGTAATATCCTGATAAACCCAAAAATCCCCTGAGTTGTTTCACTGTTTTGGGAACATGCCAGTTGTATACAGCTTCAACCTTCTTTGGATCAGTAGATATACCTTTATCAGAAATGTAATGTCCCAAATACTCCACTCTATTAACAGCAAAAGCACATTTGCTCCTCTTAGCAAACAGTTTGTTAGTTCTCATAACTTCAAATACTGATCTTAGATGAATTATATGATCCTCCACAGAAGCACTGTAAACCAGAATATCATCAAAGAAGATTAACACAAATTTCCTCTAGAAAAGCTCTAAAGACGGAATTCATTAGATATTGAAATGTTCTGGGTGCATTAGTTAGACCAAAAGGCATTACAACAAACTCATAATGTCCATTGTGTGTTTTGAAAGCTGTTTTGTGTACATCATCTTTGCTCATTCTTACTTGATGATATCCAGATCTGAGATCTATCTTTGAAAATATTTTGGATCCTCCCAGTTCATCCATTAGATCTTCAATAAGAGGTATAGGAAATCTGTCTTTGATAGTATTGGCATTTAGCTTCCTGTAATCAACACATAGTCTCCAGGAATCATCTTTCTTCTTAACTAACACTACAGGAGAAGAATATGAGTTGGAACTTGGTTGAATAATGCCTGAATCCAACATTTCATCCACTATTTTGTCAATCTCATTTTTTTGACAAATAGCATATCTGTAAGGTCTTTGGTTGACAGGGTTAGCACCTTGTATTAAAGGAATCTTATGATCATGTCCTTCTCTGAATGGTGGTAGCTCTTTAGGTTCTTGAAAAATGTCTTCAAATTCAGTCAGCAACTGAGAAATATCATCTGGAATTTCACTATCAACTTCCATGGTTGTTAGAAAACAATCTGTGACTTTCGTTGTATATTCTCTTACACAGATCATAGCAATTTGCCCCACCTGAGTTAAGACATTATTCATTTCTTTAGCTTTGATCTCCCTCACAGATCCTTGCTTGATTCCTTGTAATACTAATTTCCTGTTGGATACCTTAAATGTCATAGTGAGCTCTTTAAAATCCCAAGAGATCTTTCCCAAGGTTTCCAACCATTGGACTCCTAAAACCATATCACAACCTCCTAATGGAATAACCATAAGATCAGTTGTGAATGGAGTTTGTTGGAATGTCCATTCAAACCCTTCTACTCTGGATGTTACATCAATGGTGTTGCCATCTGCTACAGTAACTCTGGCCAGCCCATTGTTAATCAAGTTGCAACCTAGCTTTTCAGCTATCCTTTGATCTATAAAGTTATGTGTACTGCCAGAGTCTATTAGAATGAAGAGTGCCCTTTTACCATGCATTCCCTTGACTCTCATGGTACTATACTGAGATACTCCAGCCATTGCATTAACAGAAATTTGAATATTTTCTTGTATTAACACCTCTTCTTCTGGATTCACATCCTCTTCATCTATCTCAATTAAAAATAGCTGGTTTTTCTTATGTTTGAGATAATGATCAGGTGTATATGGTTCATCACATTGATAGCATAATCCTTTGGCCCTTCGTTCACTCATCTCTGCTGCAGTGAGAATTTTTCTATTCCCTTTTGTCAAATCAACTGACTTCTGATTATTTCCTTCCTTATATACAGTTCCAGCTTTAGGTATGTTATTAAATGAAGTCTTCTTTCCCCCTTCATCATTTCTGTTAAAATTTCCTCTACCAAAGCCTGGATTCCCACTGACAGAACTTGTTTTAGGATGAGCCATTTCATACAATTTACCCAGGGTAAAACATTGACGAATAGACTGAGGTTGGAACATCCTTATATGCATTTGTGTGTCATTTCTTAAACCCGCCAAATAAGCACTCATCAAATGTTCTTCAGATAGATTTACGCGAGTTCTTATTGATTCAAAAATCTCATTATAAGCAATGATTCCATCAGTTTCCCTTAGTTTCATGAGATCAGCAATTGGATCATCTATAACTTCACCAAATCTTTCAGTTACTAACAACTTGTATCTAGGCCAATCAAGAATCATACCTCTGTTTTGTTCTGAAACCATTACAGACTGATGCCAGCAAGCAGCCTTATCCTCCAAATGAATTGATGCCAAATTTACCTTAATGTCTTCCGGAGTCCGATCAATATTAAAGAACTGTTCACATTTGAACAACCAATCTTTAACATTTGTTCCTCCAAATCTTGGAAAATCCAGTCTAGATAATCTTGTCAGTCCTGAATATCCTGGATTCGTTTGTGTGCGGTTCACCTGAGTTGAAGTCGAGCTCCTATTGTTCATCGTCTCCATAATTTCAAAAATTTCCTTTGAAAGTTCAGCAAATTTTGTAGCTAAGGAATCATCAAACTTCAGGCTCATATGTGTGAACTGATTCTCCATTTTTGCATCGATCTTCTTGCTTAAGTGATCTTCCAAAGCTATGAATCTGGAATTCATAGATTCTTCTACTTCTTGAACTGTCACCTCCTTGTGTGCTGCTTGAGATCGAGTTTGAGTCATGGCGGTAGCGCTTCCGAGGTTCGAAGCTCTGATACCAATTTAATACAGTAATTCTATATTAACAAGAATTAAACTGAAAAATCAGATGAAATGAGAATTAATGTGAAAACAACAATTCTCTACCCAAGTCCAGAACTGGTTTCTTGAGCAACAAGATGTACAGGAAGAGCGGAAGATATTATTGATAGAATTGAATGAGCAAAAGTGTACAGATTACAATGACCAGCTTCCTTTTATATCTAATAGAGCTGCTAAGAGCTATTAACCGACTTTAGTAAAGTAGTTATACACGTGTGAATTCAGTTAATAACTATTTGCTATATCACTCAGACCCTCAACTGTGTGGTTGACCGTCGCTTAAAAGAGAAAAGCTTTTTTCTTGAGTTGCAATTTTCCCTCAGCAGTTTCCGCTTTCAATTTACTAAGAATCTCACCGAAATGAGTTGTAATATTATAAAAATCAAACTCTAACTACAAAGAAGCAGGTCGGCTAAATAATATGTAAATGAAGTGATGAAGATGCCACTACGACGGTCAAGAGATTGCTGACAGAGAAAGCAATCATCCAAATAAGGAATTATGCCGGTGAAGGGGTGAAAGATGCACTCATGCAGCGAAAAAGAGAAGGGTTAATTTAGGAACGGAGGTCTATTATAAATACGGCTGAAGTTAGACGCTTCATTTGGTAGCGTTGTAATGCCGCCCGATTTTTTCAACTTCAGCCCCTTGTAGTCTGTTATCCAAACACCACTACAATTGAAATTATTGACTGGATTTAATAAAATTCAGCTCATTAAGAACTAAAATGACTTGCCAAACATAGCCTAAGTCGAAAGTAAAACAGCCCCTTAGAGTTTGTCTAGTGAGCATGTTTTTGGGCTTATCAGATTTATTGGGCAACTTTTTCATCAAACACGTAATTTTGATTTCACGCGCCGAATTGTGTCATAATAAAAAAAAAAGGTTGAAGTTAATATTTTGTCTGTATTGGCTGATGTTACTGTAGTTGATTATTTTAGCTATTTATTTATATATATTTTTCTTTATTTTATTAATAAAAAATAGTTTAAATATAATTTTTTTTCATAAATCAACAAAATCGGCCAATCCAGTCACTTCAGTCAGAATTTCATAAATTTCCGTAGAATAAACTGATTCAATCAATTTGAGTGATGCCAAATAGACTCGTAATGACTTTATTCTTTACATCACCTCTGTCTCATTGAATGTTTCCAATTTTTATATTAGAAAAAAAATAGAAAAAGTAAAAATGGTGTAATTTAAATTTGTGTAGAAAAGGAGGAAATGGACGGAACTAAAAATTACTCTGTATATTTGAGTAGAAAAGGAGTGGTTATTTTAATAGAAAAATAACAAAAGAATGAGTATATTTTTTGTCAAAAATAATGTTTGTACACACTCTTATACACACTTTTGTACACATCTATGTCTGTGAATGCTTTTTTTTGTCTGTGAACATCGATTCATAGATAATGTTTTGCACAAACAAAATATTGTCTGTGAACCGGATTCACAGACAAAAAACGAATACAGAGTATGTTTGAAAGTAGGGTCATAATTAAATGTACTACGTATTTTTCATTTTGGGACCATGTGACCATACAAATACGGACTAGAGAAAAACGAATTGAATGCATTTCCATGTAAGCGTTCACTTAGTCAAAATCATCAAAATCTTACATGTAATATTCTTCAGATAGAGAGGAACAGTTGGATGCATTAATGGTTCTATAAATTATTTATGGGTACTGTTCGGCTATATAAGCAGATGGCACAGATACAAATGATTATTAACCTCATTTCCTTTTATATCGCTGACAACAAAATGAAGATTCAATATTTTTCTTCAAAGGAAATCATTTTACTGCGTTTCTTATTGGCCCTGTACCTAGTGAGCTACACTGGCGCTCGTGATCTTAAAATCTCAAGGACTCTTACCCAAGAAAATGGAGGTGGCGACTCTGAAGAGAATTTATTAGGAGATTGGCCGAATATTCCCGGGTTTCCTCTTCCGGGAGCTCCTGAGATTTCCGGTGAAATTCCGAATATTCCCGGGTTTCCTCTTCCGGGAGCTCCTGAGATTCCCTCAGAATCAAATCCGGAAGGAATTCCGATTATTCCTGGCTTCCCTTTTCCGCGTATTCCAGGCATTCCCGGTTTCGGGATTCCCGATTCTCCTCCACAAGAACCGGGCGCGGATATTCCAGATTTCTCATTTCCCGGGTCAGGATTAGGGATCCCTAATTTCCCATTTCCGGATCTCCCAATTCCACCTGAGGATGCATTTCAAACCCTAGGTCCCACCGGCGAGCCCTTGAGTGGACTGTAGGCGGGCTTTTGCTTCATCACAAATGTAAACTTTACAAAGTATTTTCATACCAGAGTTATGTTTCTCCGAATTTTGGTTTTAGTTAATATTAATATAGATCGTTCCGATGGAGCCTTCAAGTTTTTGATTAAATATAAACTATGCATGTAGGGATTTGGGTTTAATGCAATATATATATACACATTCAAATTTTACTCTATGAATAAAAACTTATAAAATCCACTCCATAATGATTGGTCATGAATATGTTGTTGGTGATTTAAGTGTCACCGGCCGTTTTGTGTAATTGAAAATGACAGGAGTGTTAATGGGGATTAGAATCGTGTTCTAATACAAGCTAGTAGGTGTGCAGTGCACACTTGTATATAAGAACAAGCAGGGGCGGATCCAGGAATGAAGAGTGAGTGAGCTTAGCAGGAAAAAAATTGTTATTGCAAACAAAAAGTTTAGCTTAGGCTGCTTAGGGCCGTAATCGAATTGAGTTTTTTTCGAACTACGCGAATTCGAGTGTGATTTCGAATTTAATTTAGTGATCTGAGCTTAAGAAGCTTTTTTTAACTCGAACACGAGCTAGATTTTGAGTTCGAATAGTTGTTCAAGCTGAGTTCGAGCATAGTGGTATTCGGTTTGATCCGGACTCGAGTCTATCAATAACTCGTAAATTATAGGAATAAATTTTATTCATCTTAAAATTTAAACATTTTCATTGCAATTTTTTAAATATATTTGAACACTAAACAAATAGAGTTCATATATCTATTTTATTCAAGCCGAGTTTGAGCATAAATTAAATTAATAATCAAATAGAATTACATAACTATTAAATAAAATTAATGCACAAAATAATAGATTAAAAGAGTATAAGAGTATGTGTGGATGGCTCGACAACTAGACTCGGCTAGAGGCAGCTAGTCGGACTCGAATAGACTAGAGGGGCAGAGCCACAACGAGCTACAGGCTGGAGTGTCGGACTCCAGAGGGACACCGACGATCGACCGCAGACATAGAGGACAGAAAAGCAGGTGGCGGCGCGGCTGGGTGCCTGTGTTTGTGACATCGTGGCTTCGTCGCTTTACTGAGTTGAGTCCTTCCCGCTTCTCCTTTGTGCTTGTTAGTCACTTTGTAACAAAAGTATACTTCTACGGTTCTAAAAATCTCAAATAGTAGTTCTTACCATGCTTCATCAAAAATTAGAACTAGATAATGAACTTGGGTGATGGAAAAAGCCTAATTTTATTAAAATAATAATAATAATTTAATAATAATAATAATAATAATAATAATAGAAATAGTATATGACCAAATAAGGATAGTTGATAAAGAGTAACTTAGTTATTTTAATGATTATAATTATGTTTAAATTTTAATGCTTATAAAAGTTACTCATGGTGACTTCGGTCAAATAATAGTAATATTCATATAATAATAACAGTACTATAATAATAATATAATATTAATCATAAATTTTATGTTGTAAAATAATATTGTAAACTTGTAATATAAAGTGCTTTCATTGATGGTGTGGGTGAGTGGGTGAGATGGGATTGCATAATTTGCAGCTGGCTCCAAACACCAACTACATACGATTGTTTAATACTCTGTATGTAAAGTTTTGTTCCTCAATTTATCCCACACCGACTGCAAGGATGGTTCACCCTCCTGAGTGTCCTATATATAAACCACTTCTTGGTGCAATCACACCAAGCTCTATTATTACGCATCGGGATCATTTGTTCTCGGGATCATTTGTTCCCATGACTATGGGCTTTAAACAAAGTTTGGGCAGCCTTTTGCTTTTATAGCTTCTTAGAACACTTCTTTGTAGACTTGGGGTGGGTTGAGTTTTAATTTTTGGGTGGGCTGAAAATTAATTCTCTTTCTATACTAACAAAAAAAATTGGGTTGGGCTGGGCTAGAGCCCACCCTAGGCCCTACATAGATCCGCCCATGAGAACAAGTTTTATTCCAAGATGTTTATGATAGTAGAACACGAGGTAGAACACTCCGTAGACCAACTCTGTTGTTCTAGACCGAGGTCTAGAGCGTTTGGGCAATTTCGTGCAGTTTTCCAGAAACTGCCACGGTTATTCCTAAACGGGTTGTAACTGCTTGGAACGGTTAATACGAATATATATCATCATATTTCATACAGAGAAGGGTGATACAAGATATACGACATATCTTCATCACTTTGGCACTCAAATTAAAGAAAACAATTCATATACTCTCTAGTTTATGATGTAGTTCTTGTGCCTAATTAAGTTCTTGAGTGTTTTTAAGGATTCTTCTAGATTGAATTTCTTGTAACCCAGGCATAGGTGAGAAACATCAATTCGGAAAGTGAATTTACACGATCTTTAAGCAATTCAAGTACTCGATTATCACCCCCTATACGAAACCCCAACATATGTTAACTGTCAATATAGAAAATTTAAGTCTACTTTTTGATAAATAGTTCATGATTTTTAATTTTGCACACTGAATTACGGAGTATGTGGTAGATATTAATTATAGAGGACAAATTTAGCTTGATTTCATGCATCATTTTCTTAATTTTGTTTGTAATATATATTTTAAACATAAATTTTCGTATATCAATATATTCAACCGATTCAATCACAGTGTCAATAGAGCCAGCCGATTGCGTAGTTACTAAATGGGCTCTTGAATATCATATAATCCGTAAAACATAAGCATTTAGACTATAAATGATACTCCCTTCATCCCGCTAACAATGGGACAAGAGGAAGTGACACGCAAACCAATAAAAATTGGTTTATGTGATTGATATTGAATTGATAAAGTAAGAATAAAGTAAGAATGATTTATAGCCACACAAACTTTGTCAAATTTGGTATGGGACAATCTTATTGGGACGGACCGATAAAGTAAAACGGGACAATCATAGCGGGACGGAGATAGTAATATTTTCCCATTTACAGTTTTAATCTCATGTAATTATACATATTACGTAATTTATATGTTTTTTCTTTTAAAATTTTCAATTTATATGTTAAAAAGTAGTCCACTGAACTTACAATCCCTTACATCGACCGGGCTTACCTTTTCAGCCGAGATTAACTTATAATCCGGTTATTTATCTGAATCACTTTCCGGTGACCGGGTTTTGAAAACATAGCTCTTTTTTGGCAAAAGAATAAGAGGCACTTTATTGCGGTAGAATGCAATCTACCTCATAAGTTTGTAGGTACATAATTTAAAAATTTTATTTTATGGATTTAAATGTTGTGTCTTTAGGGATTTAGTATTTTTTTATTTTTTTGAAAAATTTTGGGATTTAGTTGTGTTTGGTTGAAAAAGGATTAATGATTGAGAACGCCAATTGATTTTGGGTTAATTGTTTAAATGGCAAATGTTGTAATAATCGGTACATTGTGGTATCATCAAACAAACATACGATAGTACGTAGTATATCATAGGAGATACGGAGTATTAGACAATAAATATCTAAAGTTTAATACTAGTAATATCTAATACAAATACTCTGTATATGTCAAACTATATTTTGGGAACAATAATATGTTAAATTATGATTTAGGAATGAAAATATGACAGTAATATCTAGAATTATCAAAATGATAACTCTATATATTAAGGTCTGGATGCATTTTGGTTTTTGAAAATGATAATTTTTTTTGACACGGAGGTAGTAATATCTAGAGTTATGTTTCTCAGAATTTTGGTTTTATTAGTTTATTAGATGATCCGTATCTTGTAAATGGAGCCTTAAGAAGTTTGATTTAATTTAAACTATGCATGTAGGGATTTGAGTTTTAATGCAATATATACACATACAAATTTTATGCATCAACCCTACGAATTAAAATCATGAAAATCCACCCTACCCTTGGTCATGCACATGCATGTGAACGCTAAAGGCATTCTCAAAATACTGCACTTTTATATGTATAGTTTTGTGTAGTAGCTTTCAATAATATATTTAATTGTGAGCTGAAATTTGGTGGGGATAAACTAGACTTGATGAAGAACATTCTCAAAACATTTCATCAAAAAATTCTATCAGAAATCGCTCCAAACAGTAAATTCCACACGTATATTCCGGTCAGGAGCTCCTAACTAGAGCGGCACTCTCTCTCTCTCTCTCTCTCTCTCTATATATATATATATATATACATATACATATACATATACATACACACACACACACACACACACACACTAATACTCCCTCCGTCCCTTAAAACTTTGCCATCTTTCTTTTTTGGGACATCCCAAAAAATTTTGCCACTTTCCCTTTTAATCAATTATTTTGTGGTTTCTGTTATTTCTCTCTCCTCTGCACAAACGTAACCACACTGTTTTTACTTTATTATTCTCCGTGCTGGTCAACTTCGGCAAAGTTTTAAGGGACGGAGGTATTATTTTTTTAGCGTGGGCCTGGGCCCTCCTTGGCCCAGAGCCAGATCCGCCCCTGGAAGCCGACCTCGACCCACCCGAGGGCGGCGCAACATCGGGCTCCCAGATCACCAACATAAAGCCAAATTTGAGGTCGACCTCGAACACACCAAGGTCGGTACCAGATCTGACCTCAAACAGGGACACAAGTCAACGGATATACAGAAATGACCCCACCAGAAAAACTGGAGACCAGAATCAAATCATCTTGAATGAGCTCAGTATGCCCGAGCTCTCACCTCATGGAGCTCGGGATCTCACTAACCATATGTGTACTTAGACATTTCAGCACTATTCGAAGGCCACATCACTCCGGCAGTTAAGAATTAAGAATATTCTGGAGGCACACGTGTAACACATACATGTATTCTGGTACAATTCTGTTACACACAGTACCAATCGACCATCTATCCCAAGTATCTCTCCAATCACCTTTACACGTGTCACCACACCATTAGACTAGTACATTTATTCTGTTAGACACGTGTGACACATGTCTTCATCACAATAGAATAACATCTTTTTACTTGTTAGCCAAGTATTCCCCCTTAGTATAAATATCACCTTCCAGCTTGTGGAAAGAGATCCAAAATTCTGTGTGCAAACTTACTACTCCCTCCGTTTCTGAAACAAGTTCCACCTTTCCTTTTCGGGCAGATTCAAAATTAAGTTCCACTTTCAAACATTTCCTTATTATCTACATCAAAACAGTGTCAAACAGTGCCAAACAGTGTTCAAACAGTGCTAAACAGTGCACTCCACAGTAAAGTCAAATTTATTTTCTTA